TCCGGTGCCGGGAATAAACCAAAGAAATAGTTAATTTAAGTGCTGATTTGTCACGTGCTCAGCGGTGAAGGAAAATTTCGTGAGGAAACTTCATATTTTGGAAATAATAACAATAAAAAATATTTCGAAGATATGTGAAGTCCGATAAGGTCGCTCGTCGGACTATGCCTTAATGCCCTGTGCTGTACATAGGAGGCTTTTGCCCACAAGTGGGACATTTATAGGCTGTTACTTAACTTTTAATTTACATAGACGACATTTTTATATTTTTAAAGTACTAAATATGCAAATAAAAGTATGTTTTGAAGTTTTTCGTTAAAAAAATTCTAATAATTTAAAAGTGTCCATACGTAAGATATTAATAAATAATCATTTTTTTATTAAATTATCGATTGTAATTACTGAAAGTTGTGTGTGTGTACTTCAATGAATAAGATTTTTTTTATTCTATACACTCGCATATTGATCTCGAATGTTCCAAACTCAGAAACATTTTTTTATTGAAATCTCTTTCATAGACCTATGCACGTGTTATTTCTTTTTATACAGCTGTGTCCGCTCGAATAGATCATTTAATTTTAATAATATCGAATGACCATTTTGTATTTTAATCTATTTTTAAATCAATATATGTATATTTATTATAATTCCTAAAGCCTGTAAGAGTTATGTTTAAAAATATTTACTCGCTGCACGTAAAATCATTCAATCTTTTATTTTTCTTTTACTCTATTTAATACATCCGAGCCATTTTCAATTCATAATAAGAACAGTTGACAACACAACAATTTCCCAATCACGTACTGGAATTCTCTCGGGAGCTGTAATTTAATAATGACATATTATGAATGTTTTAATAAATATATATTGCAGAACATATTTTTACACAAGACACAAACTTAGCTAATCTTTTACAATTGTATTGTTATATTTGTAATGGTTTAAACATAATTTTGTATTGGAAGTAAATATACATCGGTATGATAATAAACAAACAGCCACAAGAAAAACACAATGATCCTCGAACAACAGTTTTCTAGTAGTGGGGTTTGAGCCCAGCCCCTCACCGTCTGAAGAAATAGACAGGTTTACTAATCATTACGAGTTCGATTTATTAATATAAATATGGGCAATACGACTCATCTAAATGTAGAAATGTTGGCAACCTTTTGATGTTACTAAAATTGATAATGTAACTTAAAATGCACGGCTACTGAGCGAAAATATAACCTAATTACATTAGGTCAGCAGTTAATTTGCGTACGGCAAGCAAAGCACACCGTTCGGATAAACGGCAACAATTAAAATAACTATCAGGGGCAGGAATGGACAGGACATTTGTCGAGAGAACAGCCTCAATTACTGGGGAATACCTGTATCATTTATAACTTCGAGGCGAGACTATATCAGCAAATATCACCAGAAACTCATGAATGTATTTAAAACGTACTGATTTAGTTTGTTCGGAGAAAATTAGACATTAAAACAAGAGGTCAAGTGACACCCGGTTGGAGCGAAATTTAATTCGCTATATATTATATACTAGCTTTTACCCACGGCTTCGCTCGCTTAAATAAATATATTTTTTTATAAAATGTCCTATGTCCTATTTAATACCTCGAAGAATATGTGAACAAAGTTTCATGATAAACGGTTGAGTATTTTTGGCGTGAAAGCATAACAAACAAACTTACATTCACATTTATAATTTATCAGTAGGGATTAATCAATAGGCACAATTAAAAATAAATTAATGGCTTTTGATTCATTACGTACTACACTAGGTATATTCGTGTCCCGGAGTTATGCTCACCGCTCCCAGCGAGTTAATAACGCACTCAACGGCCGTCTATGTTACTGTCTACATGCAAAAACCAGACGGCCGATAGCCGGAATCCCTCTCGTTTTGTAAATGAAAGCATGTCCACATGCGTAACTCTGTTTAGGACGGGCCTATCAAGTTCGTGGAAACTTTGACTTTTGAGCTTTGTACTCAGTGCAGCTTAATACAGTCTCCGGACTTAAGCGCAAACGTCTATCATGGCTCACCGTCGCAAGAATAAATCGGTGAAAATACCGATGGAAGACACTTTCTTCTACTGAAACAATTTATTCAAGAGAGAAACTGCGTTGGTTTACGTTACTGAGAGTGAGAACCTTGGATTGTAAGTACGAACGTCACAACCTTTGACACTGTTTGTGAAATGCTGAAAAATCATTACGCCTTCAATATTCGGCCGTAAAACACAGTGTGTGCAATGTAAGTGACCGATAGTGGTTTGCATACATTCAAAATCTTAGTCTTTATAGCCCATACGATTTAAGAGAAACAGAGAATGTTGAAACTTATTACACAAAAGATCTGTAAGGGAGAATTTTGGCTGTGAGTATCCAATATTCTTTTTTGTAAGTGTGTACTATCTAATAATACCCGAAACATCACTAATACGAACTTATTCATTCTATAACCAGAACCAGAAAAAGAACAGTGGTGTACCGGCCAAACTTAAAGTCAATATCAGATGTCACAGTTTTAAATAAGATTAAGTTCATCTGTGACGATTAGAAATTTACAGCAGGCATGTAATTATCTATTAAAAAACAATGAAATTATCTTTGCATTACTCAATAATGTAAACGAAAATGAAGACTGAAAATACTCTTGCATCGCTATGCAGGGTACTTTTTTGTGCGAAATCCCAGCGGCACACTGTTTCATGCTTTCAAAATGAGCAACACCAAAACAGCATGAAAATGACACGCTTTAAGAATTGCTCATGCATTTTAAACTAAGAACACCGCCAAGTGATAAAGGAAAAATAATTTGTATTAAAAAATTCTTAAGGTACCTTTAAAGTATATACAATGCAGGAGGTCCATAATATTAAAAAAATAAAAAAAACGATCCCTACTAATAACTTACTAACAACTAATAACTTGTAGGTAAAAAAGTATACGCCACTAATAGATTCTACATGGAGCATTAGATACATAGTCAACTTTCTGAGTAGCTTTCCCTTTTCTGAAAAATAGCCATAGCCATAGACAAACGAGAAAGCCATAGAGAACTTATTTCATTTCCTCGGTAGTTTAAGAACCACCATGAACTAGTTTTTGTTTTGTTAACGCGGGCGAAGTGCCTACGCATATTTGCCCTCGTGAAAGAAACCCAATGAATCATACGAGTTTCTGTGATTCTGTTTAAACTTAATGAAGGTGAATAATTTTTGAAGAAATTGTCGCCTGTGATGAAAATTAGATCAGCTACGAGAATGGGAGAAAAGTTGTTCATGGGCAGTCAAGCAAAAAATAATCGGATTAACATGCAATAAAGTGATGCTGTGTTTATTGGAAGGGTATCGTTGATTATGAGTTTCTACTGCCAAGCTCATTACAAACCTTTAGCACTGTTCATAAGCATACTTATTGATATTCTAGTCTCATTGGATGTTCATCGGCTTACCTCTTGGTATGCTTGCGTGCTAACTGGCCTCACATGGATACCTATTGGCGGGTTGCTTAAGAAATAAAGCTTCCAACAGAAAGACACGGTGGCCAATTGTTTCATTAATTTGATGTTCGCTAATCGAAGGAAGAAGCGTTCAATTGCGAACAATGTTGAAAATAAAGGCGATGAGAGCCGGGCATAGATAATGGAAAAGGAATCACATACTCTAAATATCAAAATCATGGCAAAACTTAGACTAATTAATCTTGTTAATGTTGTTTTTCTTTTGTAATTGCTAATTTATGAACAGTTTATTAATAATAAGGTTGTACAGCGTAATGAGTTGTATTCAGTAGAGATGTATCATTTTATTGTATGTGATATTAATCTTAAGTATTATTTTACAGAAGCCTAAATAATTGAATAAAATCGCTTCGAATGCGAATGCCCATGCAGTATAATACATCATTCGGTAAATATAAATGTTGTATTGGTTTTGATAGCCTCGCTTATAAAATATCATCAATATTATTGTATCCAATATTAGTCTTCTCATATTTTAAGTTACAGTTACATAGTATAATGAATTAAGTCTTAACAATACCGCTATCCAAGTAATACGAGTATATTATCCTGGTTCCTAACAATACTTATAATGTATTGGATTTTTTTCTTTTCTCACATTTAGAATTTTTATGCTACAAGATTGTATTATATATAACCTACCATTAATTGTTTGAAAATTTTGAAGAACAACAAATAAAAACTAATATTACAATTAAAAGCCAACACCAATTTAATTTAAAAAATATGGCACTTTTATTTCAACACATTTCCGATAAATTTTTCGATTCGTATGTATTCTGATTAATACCAATGGTCAATTACCCGCAGAGAGACACAAATATCCATAAATATGTTAGCAAATACCCAAAACTATGTTAGTTGCAGGATATATAATTCGCAACTTTTAACGGAGCCCACCGGGATGATACCAAAAGAAAACTACACAGTATGGTTGTCGTGCCTATTTTTTAGCACATGTTTCCATCCTCTTTCAAAGAAACATTTCTCTAGAATTTTTCAACGTTTATTATTCTTTGATGGCTCTATGGCATGAAATGTGCGGAATGCCATTAAATAAAACTCACAAATGTGCTCACTGTTAATTGTATTACATCAGAAGAACTTTAGATGTGTTCACAATATTTTCACCCTTAAAATAATGTTATTGTTAACAAAGAGACAAGTCGACCGTTGTGTTCTCAGCGGCGAGTTCCGAGGCAGAGGTAACTCCCCGGTCGCCGACCAATCAGAGGCGATTCGTTTGCAAACCGCGAGTTGCGCGCTTTTGCGCGCTAAATTTAAAATAGACGCGGCGGTTGTTTTCATCCGCCACATCACCCCCCTAGGCAGAAAATTAGCCCATCCAAAAAAATTAAAACTAAGCATGCAATAAATTCTTAACCTAAATATAAAAAAGAAAAAAAAAACAACATGCTTATAATCTAATTATGAGAATGATGAATGGAAGAGCATTTAAAGTAAATTACAGGTTCAAACGGTCTTTAAAATGGACGCTACGACCTGAGCGAGTAGTGTAAGGAGTTGGTGAGGAGTGCTTAATACAAGCAGGAGGCGCAGCTGGGACAACTGGAGTTGCAGCTGGAGTAGGCAAAGCAGGTGAGTTTGCAGTTGATCTGGGTGCTGACGGTACTGAATTGTCTACGATGTATGCCGGTTTCACACGGTCAAGACTCACTTGCGTGTTTCTGTCACCGACAGTGATCGTTATTGTCTTCTCCGTTCTAGACACTACCTTATGAGGTCCACTGTAGGGCGGCTTGAGGGAAGGTCTGACTGTGTCATCTCTCAAGAAGACGTGTGTAGCAGTCAAGAGGTCCTTCGAAACGAAGACTGGCTGCTGACCATGGCGGGAGGCAGGTGTTGGCCTCAGTCGTGCCATCTGCAGGCGGAGTTGAGTGGCGAAGTTGGTTAAGTCCTCGACGCGATCTGGAGCTGGAGAAGGGGCAATGAGTTCACCGGGCAAGCGCAGGGGTTCCCCGTAAACAAGCTGGGCCGGTGAGCATTGCAGGTCCTCTTTGAGAGCTGCCATGTGGTAAAATCGTGCGGTTGGTGCAGAAAAATTACCAAGAGGAGTCAATGTGTGCCGAGAAATCTTGCTGCGTTGACAAGCAGTACAAGCACGACACCATTTGTAGCAGTCTTTGTGTATATTCGGCCACAAAAAACGCTCAGCTACCATGCGTGCGGTTGCCCGCGCGCCGGGGTGGCTGAGATTGTGAATTTTGTCATAGTAAGGACGGCGAAAAGAAGATGTAGGAAATGGACGAGGTTTACCCGTGGAGACGTCACAGAAAATTTCAACGTCGGGACCAGGAACCAATACTTTTTCTAGTTTTAGGGACGAGTTGGTTTGCATCCTCTGCAGTTCGTCGTCAGTTGCCTGTTCCGCAGCGAGAGCAGCGAAGTCATCGAGTATATGGACGGCTTCCACACGTGACATAGCGTCAGCAACTACGTTGTCTTTCCCATGTACATGAACGATGTCAGTTGTAAACTGGGATATGAAAGAAAGCTGGTTGAGCTGGACGGGTGGAAGCTTCTCTCGTTTTTGTGAAAAGGCGTACGTTAATGGTTTATGATCCGTGTATATAACCACATGTTGAGCTTCCATGATATGGCGAAAATGATGGACAGCGTCGTAAATCGCTAGCAGCTCCCTGTAGTAGGCGGGCCAGGTTGTCTGGCCGGCTTTGAGCTTCTTGCTAAAGAAGGCTAGAGGCTGCCAGGAGTCATCAACGAGCTGTTGTAAACAAGCGCCAACAGCGCGTCGGGTACAGGGTGGGCAAGAAGCGTCGCATTTCGCAAGATGGTCCTTGCATTTCTGGAACGCGGTGTGGAGCTCCGGTGTCCACGGAACTGGTTGCGACCCTTTAAGCTGACCCGACACGTAACTGTCGATTAACGGCGCTTGGAGTTCTGCAGCATGTGGCAGAAAGCGGCGGTAAAAATTCACCATACCCAAGAATCTGCGGAGGCCTTCAACTGTTTTAGGTGGAGGAAAATCCCGCAGGGCTTCGATGCGCTCAGGAGGCGGACAAGTACCCGATTTGCTAACCTTGTATCCGAGGAAAGTTACTTCATCTGCGCCAAGCACACATTTCGATGGGTTGACAACAACACTGTATTACGATAAGCGCTTGAATATAGCGCGAAGATGGTCAACCTGGTCCTCGGGGGTCTGTGAGAAAACGAGTATGTCATCGAGATAGGGAAACACGAAGTCTAGGCCATTGGTTACCTCATCAATGAAGCGCTGGAAGGTTTGTCCAGCATTGCGCAAACCAAAAGACATAAAACAAAATTCATACAAACCGAAAGGTGTAATAATGGCAGTTTTTGCTTATATCTTCAGGTGCGACAGGGATTTGTTGGTAGGCCTTAACCAGATCTATTTTGCTAAAGATAGTACAGTCGGCTAGGTTGCTACCAAAGTCTCCGATGTGTCGAACTGGGTAACGATCGGGAATCGTCCGTGCGTTGAGTCCCCTGTAATCGCCGCATGGTCGCCAGCAGTCCTGCGAGGTGGATGGAATGTCAAGGTGTTTATCCTTGAGCACCATCTGCAGAGGCGAAGACCATGGGCTCTGAGAGGGGCGGGCTGTACCACAAGCTACCATGTCCTCGAAAACAGCTTTGGCTACCTTGGGTTTTTGAGGTGCGAGCCGGACGTACGACTGCAGACAGGTGGTCGGTCTGTGGTCAAAATGTGGTGGACGGTGTTGTGCTTCGCAACGCGGGGAAATCCGGGTGGTCTCGACAGTTCTGGAAACTCCTGTAATATTTTGGAGAAAACGGAATTGTCAGTAATGATGGTTTTTACGCTGGGTTGATTAATAGCTACCACAGTGGCAGTGACGGAAATATTTGTAACGCCGTCTAGTAATCGTCGCTTAGAACAGTCTGGCAACAGATTGTAATAAGCGAGGAAGTCAGCTCCGATTATGGGAGTACCAACATCTGCTATAACAAAGTTCCATCTAAATTCTTGACGGAGTCCAAAGTTGAGACGAAGGATATGGAAGCCGTATGTCTTAATTATGCTCCCGTTAGCAGCGCGGACACCGAATCCAGAAGGTCTGGAGGGACCGCAAAGAAGTCGGCGGGGAAAGCAGCAAATATCCGATCCGGTATCGATAAGAAATCGATGACCCGACTCGGTATTTTTAATGAACAAACGGCGGCCAGTACTAAGTTCACAATCAGACGCCGCTACTGATTGTTCAGGGCGTTTCCCGTCTGATCGGGTTTCCATGTGCATGGAGTCAAATATTTGGCGGCCTTGGTACCGAATTTGGCGTGGTACCAACAAGCGCCCGACTTGCGGTGCCGAGATGCAGAACGAGGCCGGGAGCGTGAGCTGCTCCGCGAACGAGAGCCTGCGTGACTTCTGCTCAAAGCGTCGACCTTCTGTGTCAGTTCGTCAAGGCGTTTCGTAAATTGGCTAAAGTCGGGTAGGGTGGGAACCGCAGAAGCAGAATTAACTAAAGCGCTTTTACCGGGGGCAACGTCAACAATACCGTCAGCTAGCTCAGCAAGCTTGCTCAATGGTAAGTCCTGATGAGCCATCAGGATGCGCTGGACGTCAATGGGCAGGTGACGCATCCACAACTCGCGTACAATGCCATCGTCTCCTTTTCCTGCCAAAGACTGCAGGTGACGAAGAAAAGAAGAAGGCTTGCGGTCGCCCATCTGCTCTTCGCCTAGAAGTTGGCGAATGCGTTGCTCTCTGGAAACTGAAAATCGTTTGATCAACTCGGTTTTCAAGTTTTCATACTTGTCATCTGCTGGAGGATGAGCAATGACGTCTTTCCACCTCGTCAGCCACATCAGGTTCCAGCTTTGAAAGGATGTGACCATATTTGGTTGCATCCTTGGTTATGCCTGCGACTTCGAACTGTGCCTCAGCCTGTGTGAACCAAATTGCTGGTTTGTGGGGCCAAACGGAGACCACTTAACACTGACTGCTCCTACATTTTGTTCGGTGTTACTACCTGCTTGGTTGACACATAATCTAGCAACCTGCCGTTTAAGCTCTTCAATCTGTTGCTTTAATTCCTCTTCCATTATTAAAAAAATAATAATAATGCACTAAATAATATTATAATAAAAGGTAACTTGCAAAATAATAGTCAAATAGTGCACATAACATTCAACAACAAATTAAATTTCCATTATAAAACCAACCGAATAAAATTAAAATTAAATATTTACTAATATACAACTTGTAAAATATTGGCAAACAATGAACAAAAACATACAATTATACCCAAGGACAAATGGTGTCAAACAAACAAAACATATATACAAACAAAAAAATGCAAAGGAAAATTAAATTAAAATTTCTAATAATTTCCTGCCAGCAATGCAAGTATTAAAATTTCCAATGGCAGTTAATGAGTTAGATGGAAAGTAATTTAAAAATAGTTAAAAGTTACTATTTAGCACAGGTAGGTTAGTTATAAAAGTTATTGTACAGTATATTATATATTAGTCCAGTTATATTAGTCTAAAAGTTGTTATAAAACACCAAAACCAAAAAAAAAAAAAAATTGTTAAATATGTTATAAACAAAAAGTATAAACATAAAAGTATAACACACAAAATAAAATAAATGAGAAATATCATAGTATTATGTGCTAGATCCAAGAAAATAAAAGTTAAATTTAAATTGTCCATTCAAATGCAGTCCAATCAGACCTTGCCGTCTGGGGAAAATGGGAGAAAAAGTTCCTTAACCGTTCACTGCAGAAAGTTTATAAAGGGAAAATGCTTGTAAAAAGTCCTGGATTACACTGACACTTGTTAGAAAGTTAGTCGTTATTGTTTGTAATTAGTTAGCACTGTGTGTGTTCACTCACCACTGTGAAAATGTTAGAAGGAGAACGGGCAGGGCAAGAAAGTAGCCCGTGCCGCTACCGGAACGTACCTCAGATGACCAGATAGGTACCTCAACCGCAGGGCAGATGCCGGCATGAACTTGCAAGGGCTGGCCAGCTCGTCCAGTGTGGGAGATATGGACATCAAGAGAGCAGATGAGAACCGCCGTGTCACGCCGCTTGTTCTCAGGAACAATCCTTTTCCATCAGCGGAATCCGTGCATGGAATCAGATATATAGCTGTGCGATAGCTTCTCCAGCGTGAAAATGTCCTCTCCGGTATACGTATTCTCTGGATTTTCACAATTTGAAAAAAAAAAATTCACGAGGGCGAAACGTTTTCTGATCACGTCGGGGTCACCAATATGGCATGAAATGTGCGGAATGCCATTAAATAAAACTCACAAATGTGCTCACTGTTAATTGTATTACATCAGAAGAACTTTAGATGTGTTCACAATATTTTCACCCTTAAAATAATGTTATTGTTAACAAAGAGACAAGTCGACCGTTGTGTTCTCAGCGGCGAGTTCCGAGGCAGAGGTAACTCCCCGGTCGCCGACCAACCAGGCGATTCGTTTTGCAAACCGCGAGGCGCTAAATTTAAAATCGTTGTTTTGCACATCACCCCCCCTAGGCAGATTAAAACTAAGCGCGCTTTTTAAAAAGCGCAACATGCTAAATTATAAAATGAATGGAAGACGTAAATTACGGTTCAAACGGTCTTTAAAATGGACGCTACGACTTTAGTATTTTTGAGGATCCAGGAGGCGCCTGGGACAACTGGAGTTGCCAGCTGGAGTAGGCAAAGCAGGTGAGTTTGCAGTTGATCTGGGTGCTGACGGTACTGAATTGTCTACGATGTATGCCGGTTTCACACGGTCAAGACTCACTTGCGTGTTTCTGTCTGTCACGACAGTGATCGTTTTGTCTTCTCCGTTCTAGACCACTACCTTATGAGGTCCACTGTAGGGCGGCTTGAGGGAAGGTCTGACTGTGTCATCTCTCAAGAAGACGTGTGTAGCAGTCAAAAGGTCCTTCGAAACGAAGACTGGCTGCTGACCATGGCGGGAGGCAGGTGTTGGCCCAGTCGTGCCCTCTGCAGGCGGGGTTGGGTGGCGAAGTTGGTTAAGCCCTCGACGCGATCTGGAGGGGGAGAAGGGGCAATGCAATAGTTCACCGGGCAAGCGCAGGGGTTCCCCGTAAACAAGCTGGGCCGGTGAGCATTGCAGGTCCTCTTTGAGAGCTGCCATGTGGTAAAATCGTGCGTTGGTGCAGAAAAAATTACCCAAGAGGAGTCAATGTGTGCCGAGAAATCTTGCTGCGTTGACAAGCAGTACAAGCACCGACACCATTTGTAGCAGTCTTTGTGTATATTCGGCCACAAAAAACGATCAGCTACCATGCGTGCGGTGCCCGCGCGCCGGGGTGGCTGAGATTGTGAATTTTGTCATAGTAAGGACGGCGAAAAGAAGATGTAGGAATGGACGAGGTTTACCCGTGGAGACGTCACAGAAAATTTCAACGTCGGGACCAGGAACCAACGCGTTATCTAGGTAGAGCGACGAGTTGGGTAGCAGCCTCTGCAGTTCGTCGTCAGTTGCCTGTTCCGCAGCGAGAGCAGCGAAGTCATCGAGTATATGGACGGCTTCCACACGTGACATAGCGTCAGCAACTACGTTGTCTTTCCCATGTACATGAACGATGTCAGTTGTAAACTGGGATATGAAAGAAAGCTGGTTGAGCTGGACGGGTGGAAGCTTCTCTCGTTTTTGTGAAAAGGCGTACGTTAATGGTTTATGATCCGTGTATATAACCACATGTTGAGCTTCCATGATATGGCGAAAATGATGGACAGCGTCGTAAATCGCTAGCAGCTCCCTGTAGTAGGCGGGCCAGGTTGTCTGGCCGGCTTTGAGCTTCTTGCTAAAGAAGGCTAGAGGCTGCCAGGAGTCATCAACGAGCTGTTGTAAACAAGCGCCAACAGCGCGTCGGGTACAGGGTGGGCAAGAAGCGTCGCATTCGCAAGATGGTCCTTGCATTTCTGGAACGCGGTGTGGAGCTCCGGTGTCCACGGAACTGGTTGCGACCCTTTAAGCTGACCCGACACGTAACTGTCGATTAACGGCGCTTGGAGTTCTGCAGCATGTGGCAGAAAGCGGCGGTAAAAAATTCACCATACCCAAGAATCTGCGGAGGCCTTCAACTGTTTTAGGTGGAGGAAAATCCCGCAGGGCTTTCGATGCGCTCAGGAGGCGGACAAGTACCCGATTTGCTAACCTTGTATCCGAGGAAAGTTACTTCATCTGCGCCAAGCACACATTTCGATGGGTTGACAACAACACTGTATTACGATAAGCGCTTGAATATAGCGCGAAGATGGTCAACCTGGTCCTCGGGGGTCTGTGAGAAAACGAGTATGTCATCGAGATAGGGAAACACGAAGTCTAGGCCATTGGTTACCTCATCAATGAAGCGCTGGAAGGTTTGTCCAGCATTGCCCAAACCAAAAGACATAAAAAAAAATTCATACAAACCGAAAGGTGTAATAATGGCAGTTTTGCTTATATCTTCAGGTGCGACAGGGATTTGTTGGTAGGCCTTAACCAGATCTATTTTGCTAAAGATAGTACAGTCGGCTAGGTTGCTACCAAAGTCTCCGATGTGTCGAACTGGGTAACGATCGGGAATCGTCCGTGCGTTGAGTCCCCTGTAATCGCCGCATGGTCGCCAGCAGTCCTGCGAGGTGGATGGAATGTCAAGGTGTTTATCCTTGAGCACCATCTGCAGAGGCGAAGACCATGGGCTCTGAGAGGGGCGGGCTGTACCACAAGCTACCATGTCCTCGAAAACAGCTTTGGCTACCTTGGGTTTTTGAGGTGCGAGCCGGACGTACGACTGCAGACAGGTGGTCGGTCTGTGGTCAAAATGTGGTGGACGGTGTTGTGCTTCGCAACGCGGGGAAATCCGGGTGGTCTCGACAGTTCTGGAAACTCCTGTAATATTTTGGAGAAAACGGAATTGTCAGTAATGATGGTTTTTACGCTGGGTTGATTAATAGCTACCACAGTGGCAGTGACGGAAATATTTGTAACGCCGTCTAGTAATCGTCGCTTAGAACAGTCTGGCAACAGATTGTAATAAGCGAGGAAGTCAGCTCCGATTATGGGAGTACCAACATCTGCTATAACAAAGTTCCATCTAAATTCTTGACGGAGTCCAAAGTTGAGACGAAGGATATGGAAGCCGTATGTCTTAATTATGCTCCCGTTAGCAGCGCGGACACCGAATCCAGAAGGTCTGGAGGGACCGCAAAGAAGTCGGCGGGGAAAGCAGCAAATATCCGATCCGGTATCGATAAGAAATCGATGACCCGACTCGGTATTTTTAATGAACAAACGGCGGCCAGTACTAAGTTCACAATCAGACGCCGCTACTGATTGTTCAGGGCGTTTCCCGTCTGATCGGGTTTCCATGTGCATGGAGTCAAATATTTGGCGGCCTTGGTACCGAATTTGGCGTGGTACCAACAAGCGCCCGACTTGCGGTGCCGAGATGCAGAACGAGGCCGGGAGCGTGAGCTGCTCCGCGAACGAGAGCCTGCGTGACTTCTGCTCAAAGCGTCGACCTTCTGTGTCAGTTCGTCAAGGCGTTTCGTAAATTGGCTAAAGTCGGGTAGGGTGGGAACCGCAGAAGCAGAATTAACTAAAGCGCTTTTACCGGGGGCAACGTCAACAATACCGTCAGCTAGCTCAGCAAGCTTGCTCAATGGTAAGTCCTGATGAGCCATCAGGATGCGCTGGACGTCAATGGGCAGGTGACGCATCCACAACTCGCGTACAATGCCATCGTCTCCTTTTCCTGCCAAAGACTGCAGGTGACGAAGAAAAGAAGAAGGCTTGCGGTCGCCCATCTGCTCTTCGCCTAGAAGTTGGCGAATGCGTTGCTCTCTGGAAACTGAAAATCGTTTGATCAACTCGGTTTTCAAGTTTTCATACTTGTCATCTGCTGGAGGATGAGCAATGACGTCTTCCACCTCGTCAGCCACATCAGGTTCCAGCTTTGAAAGGATGTGACCATATTTGGTTGCATCCTTGGTAATGCCTGCGACTTCGAACTGTGCCTCAGCCTGTGTGAACCAAATTGCTGGTTTGTGGGGCCAAAACGGAGACAACTTAACACTGACTGCTCCTACATTTTGTTCGGTGTTACTACCTGCTTGGTTGACACATAATCTAGCAACCTGCCGTTTAAGCTCTTCAATCTGTTGCTTTAATTCCTCTTCCATTATTAAAAAAATAATAATAATGCACTAAATAATATTATAATAAAGGTAACTTGCAAAATAATAGTCAAATAGTGCACATAACATTCAACAACAAATTAAATTTCCATTATAAAACCAACCGAATAAAATTAAAATTAAATATTTACTAATATACAACTTGTAAAATATTGGCAAACAATGAACAAAAACATACAATTATACCCAAGGACAAATGGTGTCAAACAAACAAAACATATACAAACAAAAAAATGCAAAGAAAAATTAAATTAAAATTTCTAATAATTTCCTGCCCAGCGATGCAAGTATTAAAATTTCCAATGGCAGTTAATGAGTTAGATGGAAAGTAATTTAAAAATAGTTAAAAGTTACTATTTAGCACAGGTAGGTTAGTTATAAAAGTTATTGTACAGTATATTATATATTAGTCCAGTTATATTAGTCTAAAAGTTGTTATAAAACACCAAAACCAAAAAAAAAATTGTTAAATATGTTATGAACAAAAATTATAAACATAAAAGTATAACACACAAAATAAAATAAATGAGAAATATCATAGTATTATGTGCTAGAGCCAAGAAAATAAAAGTTACATTTAAATTGTCCATTCAAATGTGGCAAGGTCTGGGGAAAATGGGAGAAAAAGTTCCTTCACCGTTCACTGCAGAAAGTTTATAAAGGGAAAATGCTTGTAAAAAGTCCTGGATTACACTGACACTTGTTAGAAAGTTAGTCGTTATTGTTTGTAATTAGTTAGCACTGTGTGTGTTCACTCACCACTGTGAAAATGTTAGAAGGAGAACGGGCAGGGCAAGAAAGTAGCCCGTGCCGCTACCGGAACGTACCTCAGATGACCAGATAGGTACCTCAACCGCAGGGCAGATGCCGGCATGAACTTGCAAGGGCTGGCCAGCTCGTCCAGTGTGGGAGATATGGACATCAAGAGAGCAGATGAGAACCGCCGTGTCACGCCGCTTGTTCTCAGGAACAATCCTTTTCCATCAGCGGAATCCGTGCATGGAATCAGATATATAGCTGTGCGATAGCTTCTCCAGCGTGAAAATGTCCTCTCCGGTATACGTATTCTCTGGATTTTCACAATTTGAAAAAAAAAAAATTCACGAGGGCGAAACGTTTTCTGATCACGTCGGGGTCACCAATATGGCATGAAATGTGCGGAATGCCATTAAATAAAACTCACAAATGTGCTCACTGTTAATTGTATTACATCAGAAGAACTTTAGATGTGTTCACAATATTTTCACCCTTAAAATAATGTTATTGTTAACAAAGAGACAAGTCGACCGTTGTGTTCTCAGCGGCGAGTTCCGAGGCAGAGGTAACTCCCCGGTCGCCGACCAATCAGAGGCGATTCGTTTGCAAACCGCGAGTCGCGCGCTTTTGCGCGCTAAATTTAAAATAGACGCGGCGGTTGTTTTCATCCGCCACAGCTCCTTTTCCAATATTTCGAGGAACCTGTTTGAAAACAAAATATTTAAAAAAAAGTATTATCCAACTCACGAACAATATACTAAATATTATTGTAATCCTGAAATGCATTATACATTTATGTATAAACGTAAATTGTACAAGCGCAGAATTTACCACAGTTACCAATCCAACCAAATAAATTTTAATTTGGTTATCTAATAAAACGTTTAACGCTTACCTTTGTTGAAGTGGACGAAATATTTCCATAGATATTTTTTTTCCTTGTTTATTGTTTAATATCTTGTTCAGAAATCTATATTAAAATGTTAAAATTTCAACTTATTCCCTTTTGAAGAACAATTTGCTGCTAATACATTTATGTTACTTACACCGTTTATTCGAACTATCTAACATATGACATTTTTTACAAGCCCGTCTTCAATGGAGTAACAATCGTTTTTAATCGTAAATATGTATAATTATATATACACATTAAAACAACATTTTCTTAAAGATTCACCAAGTCACAGAAAAAGC